CACCTAAACGATAATCATAAATTCTTCCTCTGGTTTCTCTACAGAGCATGTTCTCCTCGCTGTATACTACAGAGTCTTGACTAGTCCACGTTTATAGCTCTTAATAAATTGACTTCTGGAGACTACCATCTTCTAGGCATCTCATGGCAGTGTCGAGGAAGTGGAACTTTCCATCATTTTCATGTTCCATAGTAAATTCATTATTTGTATGTGCATCGTTGAATAATCTGAGTAGGTAGGAAGCATGACTTTCATTATTGAACACTACAAATGTGTCATCGATATGTCTACACCAGGAAGTTGTTTCGTCAACTGCATGCTTCAACTTTCTTTTCTCAAGGTTTGACATAAAGATATCTGCTAAAACAGGGCTAAGTGGACTCCCCATAGCTACACCATCTATTTGGCGGTAAAGAGTGTTGTCAAACTGGAATTGTACACCTATGGTACACATCAACAGTAGGCGTCTGAATTTCGACTCTGGTATCTGGAGAATATCAGACTGTTTACAAATGATCTCAATGGTTTCATTGATTTGGATCATTGTGAACAAGGAGGTTGCATCAAATGACGCCATTAACTTATTTGAGACGTCACAAGTGACTGCGGTTATCAGGTATCAAAAAGTAAATATTTTGGATTGAAGACTGAAATATAAATTAGCCAAGTTCATTAAAACAATTTTTATATAATATTATACAAAGTATTTTAGTAGACATTTTGTTATTATTTTTAAATTACCTGAGCTATGTAAAGAGCACCTTCGTCACCGAGTCGATTACCAGATAAGTCAAGACTGATCAGTTTCTTATTGACAGTCTGCATTGTTCCCAATCGTTGACTAATTGATTTTGCTTCCATTGGTCCAATTTCACAATATCGTAATTGAAGTTTAGTTACACTAATTTTCAATACACAAATAAAATAGAATTAAGTTGGTCTCATTTAAACAATAACAGTAGAAGGTAAATTCTTTACAGAGAAAACATTTGAACATGGACAAATTTCATGCATAAGTTGAACAAAGTAAGAAGAATTAACTGTGGAGGTGAGAATGACGTCAGTATATTTCGTTGGTTCTTTCCAACTGCATGAAACTATAATCTATTGATATGAAACTTGTTTATAGTCGTATGTAGCTGGGGGAGGGGGGGACCAGAAGAACATGATGACGTCATTTTACCCTGCTTAATCTGTTTTTCTCGCCTTGTCTAAGTACTTTCGTTATTGATCATAAAGGTGAAGGTTATTATTATCACGTAATTAAAGAGCATAACTTTCTCTCCAATTGCATATGCCACTTTGCATACTCGCGCTGAAGTACATACACTGAATTAAATGAAGAAGGACTTATCACAGTATATCTGAGTGAATCCCAAGAAACTCGCATCTATAAGGTGCGAATGTCGTTAATACCGCAATTGCTTTCTACTTGTAGATAGCGGTCATGAAATGGATGTATTAAAATCCTTTGATTTATTTAAAGTACACGACAGTTTCAGGTCGCAATACTTCAATGAAGCGATCTGCAATAAACAATTTATGCATCCAGCAGAGAACCATACTCAATATGGTTTTACCAATGGTATATTTACTTCACGTTATTTTCCGTTAATACTGTCACAATAATCATATTTCTGTTTCCCAATGTAATTTCCTACCTATAATCTTATCCTAATCCTTGATTTTTACTGGATCACATTTTGACCTCAGTTCAACTAAATTATCTCAGCCTCACAGAATCGTGTCTTTGATTTTACTCCTCCATCCAATTCACAACATTCGTTCGATTACCTACAGTGTTTCTTCATTATTTCTATACTCACTGAAGAGCTTGCCAACGACTCATATTCCTCTCCATTACGCTGTTTAATCATGAGATATTAATGTCCTTCACCTCTATGGTCAGTGACTGATGCTTTTGAATATTCTGTATATTGATATTAGATCGTTGATGGTTGTATGCAGCTGAGGACTAACGAAATATGATGACTTTGATTATAGCGGTTAAATTAGTTCTTCTTGCTTTGTTAAAAATGATCAAGGGAATTAATTGTATGAAGCTGCATGTATAAGAGTGTAAGAGGAAAAAGTCTCAATAGTGATATTTACCCTTAGAAATATTGAAACAACTGACCCTAATATGTGTAACTTAAGATGACTGAAATAAGTCGTTCTGTAGGTGACTACCTTTTAGAAAAAAAATTGAGTCGTAATACTCTTGAAATATTCATTTTGTTTCATGATTTCATCATGAGCTCACATCAGTTAGAGAACCACTGGAAAACCTGGAAGTAATGGATAGCTGTTCGCTACATCCTAGTTTGGGACTCTTAAGTAGTACTCAACTACCAGTGAGGTTCGAACCCAGGACCTTCCGGTTATAAGGTGAGCTCGTAGACCATTCAGCTACTGAGACATGACCCATTGGCCTATGAATTCCAACTTCTGCCGATTCACACTACATCCCGATCACTAACGAATGTCATCGGAAGGTCCTAGGTGGGGAACCCGGTGGCTGCGTACTGCTAAAACAGAGTTTCAAACTAGGATGGAACAGCTATCCAGTACTCCCAGGTCTTGCCAGTGGTTCTCTAACCGATGTCAGATCACTATTACACCCTGTAACTAGTCAAATCCCTGGAAACCAACACTTGAATTCATTTTGCTGCATCACAGGTTTTTTTTAATTTTTGATATCACTTATAGCAGTTGATATGATAATGAATACGACTGATTCACTCTCCGTCTGGTAACCTTTGCGACTTCGTATAAACCTTTTCCAAAGGAAATTACGTAAGTCGCAGCTTCAACTGAATCATCCGTCTATGATTTCACTCCGAGAGAAACTCCACTAACTACTATTAAGGTTAAAACATGTTCCCTTCTGTTTGTGATTTAATGCGAGACTGATTGATACAAATAACAGATAAGCACAAAGGTAAATGGATACCCAGTATTTCTTGGTAACTATCTTCAGGTGTACTTTTTCTGGCTAATAGACATTTTGATAACTATAGTGTATTTCACAGGAAAGAGCAACTGTCTCTTGAAAATACAGATTGTGTAACAGATAAAGTTGTCTGTATGAAAATACCATCTAAGAGTTCCGAAATTATGCAGCTGACAGCTCAAATACTTCAGTTAGCTAAGAAGCGCATATTCTACGTTGTATCTTTTTCCTTACCACTCGAACACTTTCACGTTCAGTGGCTAAGATTAAAGGAGTTAATCGTGTGAACCCCACTTCAAGTTTACATGCAGTTGCGGGGATTCATATATGTAGGTAGAACCAATAAAATGTTTCAATCAAATTCGTAGTTTGCAAATTATTTTGCCTATTTCTAATCTACACAGTCTGAGGGGATTAAATTTCACCCCAGTTTCATTCTGTATCTGAAGTTATACCGGATACACCGTTGATGAGCGCTGCCACAAACGAGCGGAACGGCCTTCAAGCGGTTAGATAACTTTTGTCTGGTTAGCAAACGCCACTAGTTGATGTGATTAGCATACAACTACTCATCTCAGCCAGTTAGTAGTATGTAGTTTTATGCAAAAGAATTTAAGTTAAAGAAAGTAAAAAGTGCCATCAGCATAGATCTACATTTCAACGAATCCTGAATCTACTACTCTTCGCTACTAAATAAACCGGAATTATTCAAAAGATTCATTTTATTTTAGAGAGAAAAGAACAAAAAGTTCGGCAACACAGATATCTTTTCGACGATTCCCTTCTCAAAAGCAGCGGTTCAATCACATTTATATACATAAGCTGACATAGATACAATTATTGTTTAATTCGACATGATAACGAAGGTGATTAAAGGTGATAATAATTGCAATCTGACATGAAAGTTTGGAGGTGTGAGAATATAGATTACAAGGGGCTTAGAAACAAAACTACATAGGATTAGAAAATAGTTTTTAACGAATAAAGGTGTGAAAGGGACGAGCAAGGAAATAAATTGAAATAGTTATATTTTAAAACTGAAAATGAAAAAGAGGGAAAAGAAAAACAAAAACAAATGAGGGGAATAAAAAAGGAAACCTAAGGAAACAAACCGAACTAAATCCATGGGGAATGTAGAGGTTGGACTAGTTTCTTTTGAATACTCAGCTCTGGTTATTCGATGTATATGGCAAGGGCTTCTGCAGGACAAAGAAGTCGAGAACGCATTACCTTTGGTAGATTACTTTGTTAATGAGTCTGAATGATGAGTCAGTCGAGATGCTGAGACAGGTGTCGACTAGGTGTCTGGTTATCACACTTTTGATTGAACCAGTGCCTCCTCTTTGCAGCCATGCTGCGTAATATTCTCTAACACGTTTTTTATTTATTGACAGCTTTATTCCAAACGGTATTTGTGGTACAGGTATGGAATTTACAGCGTGCATTACAATATATTGCATCTAATTACCTCATCAATTTTACAAGAATTTTAAAATCAAAAAAAATAAATAAATGAAAAAAACCAATGCCAAAAAAACAAAAGATAAATAAAAATAAAAAAACAGCGTAGAGATTACATTTCAAACAATGCACCACAGGATATGAAATATAAAGTTGATGTGTGATAGCAAAGTCTTTCTTAAGTAGTCCAGGAAAGATTAATGGGGAGCAGTAAACGGGGGTGGGTAGAATACAAGGATTTACAAACTAAGAAAGCAAAGACTGCTTTATGCCAGAATGCCTAAACTTCCTAATGTAGAACGTTAAGCGAAACATCTTTCTAGTAACTATCAAGATGTGGGAAGACGAGGAAAGATCGGTGGAAAAACTCAGCCCAAGCTACTTGACATTAGATGTATTTTCAACCTCTATGCCGTCAATGACAGTGGGGCCATGTGAGCTAACTAGTCGCTGTAGGTCTGTTATAACTGTAGGGAATTGAATGAAGACGTTTTCACCTTGATCTGTCTGCGCCTGAACTAATCTGCCTATCTGCTTGTCGTACCTTCCGATTTAGTAAAGCACGCAAATATCAAAAGACAAAGGCTGGACTGTGACTGTGTATTGAAGTGCAACAACGATAAAGAAAGCCATGGTATTTATACATTTTACAACAATATGGACAGCTAACAGCATTTGAAATAATTTATCTTAATAGCCAATAACAAAGTGCGTGAGAGATGATAATATACCATATGTGCGAGGTTGACAGTCAGTAACAAAATGTGTGGGAATGATAATATACCATATATACAAAATTAGCAGTCAATACCAAAATGTGTGAGAATGATAACATACCATATATGCAAGATTAAACAGTCAATACCAAAATATGTGGGATCCTATCACCTCCCCCCGTAAAGAGTGTAGGACTTGCTTTTTGGATCTATTTGAAAAGGTTTCGGAGCTCTTCTTTGTCGAGTTGACCTTTGCGTGGTACTGGATAGAGCGTGATCTGTGTGTCTGACACATAACTGTCCTTTTTCATTCGTACGATAATGCAGCAAGAATTTATCCAAAATTTCTTCTGTTGTTCCCTCCCCCTTCGCTTTTGCATAAGCACGCTTAAAGGTGTCGACGAAACGTTCAGTCTGTCCATTCGATTGGGGATGATACGGGGGGCTACGAATATGCTGGATGCCAAACAGTTTGCAGCAACCAAGTTTGTCCTGGAAGACAGAAGCGTGCTTTTGACGACGGCGTTGCAAGAGAGATTGATCAGATACATCTCCGGGAACAACGTTGTGTGGTGAAGACGAAACATTAGAGCATACTGAATTTAATGGTACATTAAAGATATGGAGCTTGTCTAACCAGTCAAGACCAAGCAAATCCAAATCATGGTAGTTTGTAACGTAACATACACCATTGAAGTGATGCTCACCAAACTGAACCTGGCAATTGATCTCACCCACGAGTTTCAGTATATCTCCAGAGACATTCTTGGCGACATGCTCGGTCGGCAGAATCTGTGGGCAACCAAGTTTGCGCCACGTAGTTCGGGAAATTACGGTGATATCTGATGCCGTATCCAACTGAAGACGAATACGTTTGCCGTTAATATCTAGTGTTATGTACTTACGTTTGCTGGCGAACTCGACTTTGGAAGTAGTGAAAACGGTCTGTACTCGAGGAGATTGTTTCGGCTTGAAACGACTACTTCTGTTCCTCACCGAAGAATTTTTCTGCGGTGTACAGTAACCCTCCTTATGTCCAAAACGGTGACAATTACGGCATTTATGCTTCTTGAAAGGACAGAACTTGACAAAATGCCACGAACCACAGTGCCAGCACACTGAAGGAGGTTTAGCTGAATTTTGAGACTGACGTTCTGTGTGCTTAACGGTGATCGGAGGACTTTTCACTGTGTTAATCGAACCAAATTCAGACGACTGTCGTTTGCACTCCACCATAGCAGTATCGTGCTTCAAGTTGATTAAACGTAGGCATTCTGCTGTCACCATTTGTAAAGTCATTTTCGGGTCTTGTTCCACAAGTGACAGAAGTCGAGTTCGTATGTCAGTATCTTCTGGGTTCTTCAACCCACAAATAAAAATCAAACACTTGAACTGATCTGATGTCATTTCGTGTGGTTTGAACCTTTCACATTCCTTGTTCACTTTGCCAGCGTAAGTCACATAATCATCGGAAGGCATTTTTGTCAACTGAAAACATTGATACCGAATATTAAACATGGATGACTGTTCACCAAAGATTTGTGATAAAACGGTGACTGTCTCATCGAATGATAACTCACGTGGGTTCTTGGGCAGAATGAAGTTAACATATCTGTTGTGCTCAACAGTACCAAGTTTTCTTAGTAACAATCGGACTTTGGCAGCATCATCAAACATGTAGCATTCAATACGGAAAACGTCTTCGTAACGATTGAACCATGCATCAAATACGAGACCAGATATTGGGTCGTAGTTGAACTCACTGATGGAATTTGAGATGCTTTCATATTTGTCAGAATGAGATGTTGATGGAACTTGAATGGACAGCTTCTGAGTGAGAGCTTCGATTAATTTTAGTTGAGCTGCTTCATTCTGAACTTGCTGCTGCTGCAAGATAGATTTGAGATCGTCCAGAGAGATAGACATTGTAATTGGGTTGTAATTAACACAGTCAAAAATGTTATATAGTTGCGCTGAACAGAATAAAAACTGTCGTCGTTTGCTTGCTATAACTGCAATGAATTAAGGTAAAACCCCGTCGCCAATTTGTTATAACTGTAGGGAATTGAATGAAGACGTTTTCACCTTGATCTGTCTGCGCCTGAACTAATCTGCCTATCTGCTTGTCGTACCTTCCGATTTAGTAAAGCACGCAAATATCAAAAGACAAAGGCTGGACTGTGACTGTGTATTGAAGTGCAACAACGATAAAGAAAGCCATGGTATTTATACATTTTACAACAATATGGACAGCTAACAGCATTTGAAATAATTTATCTTAATAGCCAATAACAAAGTGCGTGAGAGATGATAATATACCATATGTGCGAGGTTGACAGTCAGTAACAAAATGTGTGGGAATGATAATATACCATATATACAAAATTAGCAGTCAATACCAAAATGTGTGAGAATGATAACATACCATATATGCAAGATTAAACAGTCAATACCAAAATATGTGGGATCCTATCACCTCCCCCCGTAAAGAGTGTAGGACTTGCTTTTTGGATCTATTTGAAAAGGTTTCGGAGCTCTTCTTTGTCGAGTTGACCTTTGCGTGGTACTGGATAGAGCGTGATCTGTGTGTCTGACACATAACTGTCCTTTTTCATTCGTACGATAATGCAGCAAGAATTTATCCAAAATTTCTTCTGTTGTTCCCTCCCCCTTCGCTTTTGCATAAGCACGCTTAAGGGTGTCGACGAAACGTTCAGTCTGTCCATTCGATTGGGGATGATACGGGGGGCTACGAATATGCTGGATGCCAAACAGTTTGCAGCAACCAAGTTTGTCCTGGAAGACAGAAGCGTGCTTTTGACGACGGCGTTGCAAGAGAGATTGATCAGATACATCTCCGGGAACAACGTTGTGTGGTGAAGACGAAACATTAGAGCATACTGAATTTAATGGTACATTAAAGATATGGAGCTTGTCTAACCAGTCAAGACCAAGCAAATCCAAATCATGGTAGTTTGTAACGTAACATACACCATTGAAGTGATGCTCACCAAACTGAACCTGGCAATTGATCTCACCCACAAGTTTCAGTATATCTCCAGAGACATTCTTGGCGACATGCTCGGTCGGCAGAATCTGTGGGCAACCAAGTTTGCGCCACGTAGTTCGGGAAATTACGGTGATATCTGATGCCGTATCCAACTGAAGACGAATACGTTTGCCGTTAATATCTAGTGTTATGTACTTACGTTTGCTGGCGAACTCGACTTTGGAAGTAGTGAAAACGGTCTGTACTCGAGGAGATCGTTTCGGCTTGAAACGACTACTTCTGTTCCTCACCGAAGAATTTTTCTGCGGTGTACAGTAGCGGTGTACAGTAACCCTCCTTATGTCCAAAACGGTGACAATTACGGCATTTATGCTTCTTGAAAGGACAGAACTTGACAAAATGCCACGAACCACAGTGCCAGCACACTGAAGGAGGTTTAGCTGAATTTTGAGACTGACGTTCTGTGTGCTTAACGGTGATCGGAGGACTTTTCACTATGTTAATCGAACCACATTCAGACGACTGTCGTTTGCACTCCACCATAACCGTATCGTGCTTCAAGTTGATTAAACGTAGGCATTCTGCTGTCACCATTTGTAAGGTCATTTTCGGGTCTTGTTCCACAAGTGACAGAAGTCGAGTTCGTATGTCAGTATCTTCTGGGTTCTTCAACCCACAAATAAAAATCAAACATTTGAACTGATCTGATGTCATTTCGTGTGGTTTGAACCTTTCACAATCCTTGTTCACTTTTCCAGCGTAAGTCACATAATCATCGGAAGGCATTTTTGTCAACTGAAAACATTGATACCGAATATTAAACATGGATGACTGTTCACCAAAGATTTGTGATAAAACGGTGACTGTCTCATCGAATGATAACTCACGTGGGTTCTTGGGCAGAATGAAATTAACATATCTGTTGTGCTCAACAGTACCAAGTTTTCTTAGTAACAATCGGACTTTGGCAGCATCATCAAACATGTAGCATTCAATACGGAAAACGTCTTCGTAACGATTGAACCATGCATCAAATACGAGACCAGATATTGGATCGTAGTTGAACCCACTGATGGAATTTGAGATGCTTTCATATTTGTCTGAATGAGATGTTGATGGAACTTGAATGGACAGCTTCTGAGTGAGAGCTTCGATTAATTTTAGTTGAGCTGCTTCATTCTGAACTTGCTGCTGCTGCAAGATAGATTTGAGATCGTCCAGAGAGATAGACATTGTAATTGGGTTGTAATTAACACAGTCAAAAATGTTATATAGTTGCGCTGAACAGAATAAAAACTGTCGTCGTTTGCTTGCTATAACTGCAATGAATTAAGGTAAAACCCCGTCGCCAATTTGTTATAACTGTAGGGAATTGAATGAAGACGTTTTCACCTTGATCTGTCTGCGCCTGAACTAATCTGCCTATCTGCTTGTCGTACCTTCCGATTTAGTAAAGCACGCAAATATCAAAAGACAAAGGCTGGACTGTGACTGTGTATTGAAGTGCAACAACGATAAAGAAAGCCATGGTATTTATACATTTTACAACAATATGGACAGCTAACAGCATTTGAAATAATTTATCTTAATAGCCAATAACAAAGTGCGTGAGAGATGATAATATACCATATGTGCGAGGTTGACAGTCAGTAACAAAATGTGTGGGAATGATAATATATCATATATACAAAATTAGCAGTCAATACCAAAATGTGTGAGAATGATAACATACCATATATGCAAGATTAAACAGTCAATACCAAAATATATGGGATCCTATCAAGGTCACATTTACGTCTGAAAGTGAAATTGACTACCTGACATTTAGACGGATTCAGCTTAAGTCCGTTTGAAGAGGACCACTGACTTATTTCCGACAGAAAGTTATTTAATTTCGAATCATATGACTGAGAGTTGACAGGCACAGAAACAGAGAGTTCATTGGCATACTTAACAAAAGTGGCCACATCAGAATGAGGCAAGTCATGTAAGAAAAACGAAAACAGAAAAGGCGAAAGAACAGCACCTTGAGGAACACCAGCTAAAGTAAGTGAGGTACTGGAGGACTTTCCATTGTAGACGATGTACTGCTTCCTATCAGGAAAATAGGAATGCAACCACTTATTTGTCCAGCTCTCAGTCTGTGTTGCAGCAAGCTTACTTAGCAAGAGAGACCTGGGAACAGAGTCAAATGCAGATGTGTAATCAAGGAAGGCACAGCGAACATATTTAGCTCCTTTATCTAAACTAGAGACTATACTATGATGTAGGACAACAGCGGCATCTAACGTACACCTACTATGTTTATAAGCAAACTGGTTGGGGTCGTTGAAAGGCTTTAAAGAGGGATCAAGATTAAGTAAAATAAGTCTTTCCATAGCTTTCAAAAAAGGTGAGGTAATGGCAATGGGTCTAAACTTAACATTAGGTCCACTTGTTGATTTAGGCACTGGAACGATATTGATATTTTTCCATGATTCAGGTATCATACTTTTGGAAAACGATTCGTTGAAAATATCAGTTAATGGGGAACACAAAATGTCGGCACACTTCTTAAGGATAACAGCAGGAACACCATCAGGACCAAGGGACTGAATAGGCTTGAGAGATTTAAGACACTTGAGGACATCATTCGTGTTAAAGCATGGGAAGCAGTCAGTTTTTACACTAATTGAGTTAGGAATCATAACATTTGCTGGGATACATATGAAGGACTCATTAAGCATGTTAACATCTACAGAAATATCATTCATCATTTGCTTACTATCTGTGATTTCCCTTAATAACTTCCACATATTTGATGGGGATTTACATGAAAGAAACTTCTGGTTATAGAGAGCATTCAATCTTTGTAATTCAAGCTTAATCAAAGTGTTCATTCTCTTAACACCAGATTTATTTTTCATTTTGAACAACCTCTCTTTTTCAAGGCGGGGATTTTTGAGTTGATAAGAGGAGAAGCGATCGAATTTTAAGAAGATTGTCTCTTTTGGACAACAAACGTCAAGACAGAAATTAAGATAATGTGTTATGTTGGTAATTGTGTTGTCAAGAGCTTGTTCAGTAAATAAATCCCAGTTTGTGTCTTTTAACATGGACCTTAGATTCAGTATGTTGTCATGGGAATAACATCTGTGTTGTGTTTTCTTTCCAAGGTGTGAGAAGACCCTTTTGTGCTGCTTTCCATATACTTTGGGCAATATTCTTATGATACAGTGATCCGAATTTAGTAGTGGGGCTCTTTTTCGAGCTTCAAATATTCCTGCGTCATTTGTGAACACGAGATCAAGAGTGTTATCCATTCTAGTCGGGAAGTTGACAATGTTATCGTGTCCAATGGAAATCAGGAAGCTGTGATCACTAGAATTGAAATGACCAGTAACTATAGACAATGAATTTCCGAAGAAGGTGGCAGCAAGGGAGGTAAATTCATCGGCAAATAAAGATAATTCTGAGGAGTTGCGTACAGGAGCAATATAAATGTTCGAGATGTAAATGTAGTTGTATTTGGACAAATGTTTAGGTCCACACTTAACGGTGAGACAGTCAATACTGTCACTAGAGAATTTGAAACATACATTATTAGACGTACACCATTGTGAATTGATGAAGATGGCGACACCTGTCTGTCTGTCTGTCTGTTTTCGACACAGAACTTTGCACAAATGTGCGGAAGTTCAAGTCGCCACATTCCGTGTAGCACGCGAAGCAAGAGAAGAAAGTACAAGAAAAGCATAATAGAAACGGTGAGCAGAGGTGTGAGACAAAGGAGTAATAAAGAAATACAAAACAGTTTCATTGAAGATCTTAAGTCACAAGGAGTGGATGCATCTGCGCCACTGAGAACGGTTTTGAGCCATGTCACCAATTGTTTCCAACCATAGATTTTTACCGTCCCGAGGACCCCAGCCTGGAAGTCTACACCTTCCTACGTGGCTTAGACCAACTGTTGTGGATTTCATTGACTGGTGAAGCCAAGTTTTTGTTTGACCGCCGCTAGCTTTTTTCCAGCCTGACCCTATATCCGCTAACATTGCTCGTCGAGGGAGGCGATGGCTTGGCATACGTAACACATGTCCTAACCATCTCAGTCTTTATAGCTTCACGATTTCGTCGATTGATTTCCCCTGTTTACCTAGAACTCTACGCCTAACCTCCATGTTGCTCACCTTATTATGCCACTTTACACGGGAAACAGAACGCAGGCACCTATGATCAAAGACAGCTAGTCTTTTCATGTCTTCCACTCTCAGTGGCCAGGTCTCACAACCATAAAGGAGGACGGAGCGGACTGATGAGCAGTACACCCGCCCTTTGGTCGATAGTCGAACATCTCGTCTACGCCAGAGTCGGCGTAAACTGGCAAATGCGAAACGAGCCCCCTGTATTCGTGCTGAGATTTCGTCAGAGATCAGCCCGATGGCACTGGCTGATGGTACTTCCCAAATATGTGAAGCGGTCAACGTGCTCTACCACTTCACTTCCTATTTTTAAACTAGGCGTCGATGTAGTCCAGTCCTGTAACATCATCTTGCATTTGGCGGGAGCGAACCGCATGCCAAACATTCGTAGATTGCGGCTCAAGG